TGTAGCCTCCAGAAATGGTGCAGGTCCAAATACGGCAGTCGTCTCCCCCTTAGGCTGCTCATCTGGCTGTTTGCATCGTTCCTGTGTGAGTTCCAAGCAGTAGTTCTCAAATGCCAGGAAAGTAGCTGGACGTGGAAAAACAGGGCAAAATTCAACCAAAGTCTGTAGCTACAATCTGGCAGATGTCTTACAGGCTGCACTGCAGAGTGGAGTTTCTTCCGTCTGCTGCAGGAACTTCTAGCAGCCTTTTCAGCTCTGTCGCTTACAGGGATTAGTACTCCTAAGGCTCGGTACGTGATTCATGGAAGTTAGAGGTCCAAGTTGGGACACCCATTCATTAGCAAAACTTTTTTTGATCTATGTGTTAATATGATAGTAAATGAATTGCTGTCCTTTAGGCAAAGACTCAGTCTGCGTGTAGCATGTTCATATGCACGATGTTGAAGGGACATAATCTTTTTATAGTTTAATACTGATCTGCTAGTGTGATTCACTAAGCTTATCAGCTGCAGACAGTCTGGGAGACTGAAACAGAACGGAAATGCTTGTCAAAAAATGAAGCAATTTGTATCACTAAAATGAGCTTCTGCTTCTGGGCTGACTGATATTTTGTGGGAGGAGTAAGATAAAATTAATGTCTTCAGATATTATAAGAGAGGCTGGCCTGTGCTATGGCTGTTGGAAAACTGCTAGCCTACGGTGCCAAGTAGGTGAGGTATCATGGTTCACCTGCCCAGAATCTTTGATTAGTCTGTAACTGGCTTCTAGAGAAGGGATAAAGAGCCTGCCTTTTCATCCCACTCCTGCAGATTGTGCTTCCTACCCAGCACCTTTCCTACTCTGTTTTGCCACTTGGAGGACAGCAGCGATTGCTCCAAGCTCTGTGCAGTGCTCCGTGCAGTTTCTGAGGAATACATTGTTTCAAAGAGCATAGGAGATAGGGAGATAGGACAAAACTGTTTCTTTCCATTTGTCTCATTATCTCTGGTAGTGTGTGTCAGGAAATCGTGAACTGTATTCTTCATATCATGAGACTGATATAAAATCATGAAGCTTAGAAATAAGCAATGATTTGCATCGTTTCAGCTTACTTACCTTGTGATGTTTATTCCTTCAGGGTGAAGTTTCCCACATAGGACTTGATTGTGTAAGGTTCTTAAGTCATTCCTAAATGCTGTGAGAAATGCAGATCTCCTTGTTGACAGTTTGAAAGATACTCGACTAAATTTCTGTTCCTATTTTCTGTCCCATTCTGTCTGTAACTTCTAACCCTCTGTTTGATCCTTCATGTCCATTTTTCTCTCAATTTTCCCCCTTGTTCTCGTACATACTCCATACTCCTTTCTACCCATTTCAGTTTCTACTGCTTAGTCCTCGAAGGTGTGCTTCGTGTCCATTGAGAACAAGCATCCAAAACAGGGGAGATGGATCCCAGCACAGAAGTGCCTGTTTCATGCCATTGAATAAAGGGAGGCTGCAATGACTAGTAGAAGTGTTTGTACCTACATGGGGTCAGGTGAACTCAGACCTTGATTGTACTTGCTACATTGTACTTGCTCTCTCCCGATTTCCCACCTCATTACTTAAATGCCCCTTTGACCTCCTTAAATTGACCTTTGATCCATCGTGTGTTTCCAATCTGGCCCTCCCATCTTCCCAGAGGACCAAGAGGGAGAAGCTCATACTTCTTCCTAGTACATACAGAATGTTGTCACAACCCTCAGATTCAAAAATACCTTTTAGTAGCTGAGGATAATGCTATCCAGTAGTGGCTGTCATTGTTGGCCAACCTTCCACCCACCTGCAAAGGTTACTATCAGTGACAATAAGAGACGATGCTACTGTAAAATAAATGCAGAGTTCTGTAGGGCAGGTGGCCTGTTCTGGCATAGCAGGCTACAGCACTTGACTGCAAATAGGACCTTATGCAGCTGTACTCCCTGATGCTCAGTACCTTGTTACCTTCCTTGCCTTTGGTTATTCTAATCTGAGGTTTAAGAAACAGGAAAAATTGAATATAATGGCGTTATTTTTTGCGAGCACAAAAAGAGATCCCAAAGTACAAGTCCATTCTTCTGGCCATGCTAAATTTAAGAACAAAACCCAACTTAAAAATAAATAACAACATACTTTTTTTCTAAAACAGTGCATGTTAAATAACAGGCTGAAGGAAATATGCAGGGATTAACTTGAAAACAGATGTTTATAATGATTCAATTATGTATTTTAATTACATTCCCAGATGCAATTAAAACAGACTTTTTCTGAATTTAAGGGATGTGTTGATAAAACTGATAACATTCTACATGATGCTAGAGGAGGAAGTATGTGTTGCAAGCATGCGTCCTCCAGCTGTGATCTCATTACGTCTGAAAAACTAAGAGAGGTCACACTGGGTCACCTCTTGAAATGGAAGGCCCAATGTTTTTCCAGGCATAGCCACGTACCACAAGGAGTAAAGTGGATTATTCAGTGGATGGCGCTTTTCCCTCCTGGTCAGTACTGATTTGGCATTGCAGCATGTGTTAGCGTTGTTTTCAGGTCTAATTCTCTTTCTACAGTATAGGATAAATACTTGTTCTAACCAGTGTTAATTTTCATCTTTCCATATGTTCATAACTATAACATGGTAAAATGCTGTAATAATATTAGAGAAAAAATGTTTTGTAAAAAATTTTTTTGCTTTATGTGAATATGGAGAAAGTTTGACTTCAAACAACAAATTCAGTGGATCTACATATAAGAAAAAAGGCTCTCAACAAAAGCAATGAATTTTTCAGGAGGTAGTACTTAAGTTTTGTTGGGCAGCCTTTAATAATTATGGTTTTGGTATTAAGCCCCCATTTCTCTTTGATGCTTTACTTTAAAAGAAGATGTATTTACCAAGTAAAAATGTTACTGTATTATTTAACTTTCCAAAGTGATGTTTATGGGTCTCACTGGAGGTTTTCCAAATTTGAAATGGATTAGATACATTTTCTCTTCATTTTTCAGAAGTACTGAGGTCCCTGTAGACTGTGGGGCCTGCAGGTGTGGAGGGAGAAGTGCCCAGTGCACGTGCTGAGACCTGGCCCTGGAGAGATGCTGTCCCTGACTGCTTCCAGATAACAGCTTAATGGGACCACTGAAGGGTCTCATGTGTGGTGCTGGAATATTTTGTATGTTTTCCTCCTAGTTTGATTCTGAGAGGCATGACAACAGCAAAAGCAGTAGACTGCTGGGTTACTCACCGGTTGCTTCATGACTAAGAGGAGGAAAAGGAGGGAGTAACCCAGATGCACTCAAGTGTACAGAAATACTTCGGTAACACAAAGCAACTGTAAACCTTTACTTGTGCATCAGTTAATCTGACTTCTCTCAGGTGTTATCACCTTTCATGTTTTGCAAAAAGAAGTGTGGCTCTTCATGTTTACGTCATAGAAATCACACTCTTTGGTTGCTGTTGACTCAGTCCAGACAAACCAACCCCCAAATCTCTGAAGTCTCTATCTTAAGACTTATGTAAACAAAGGCATGAAAGCTTTCAGTAGCATTTATTAATATTAAACTCCCTTACTCAAGCACCTACATTAAGATCTTCTCTCCTTCACTTCTGGGGGAAGTGGCAGGAGTATTTAATGTGTTACGATCAGCTGTCGGGACTAGCAAGGCCAGCTGTACAGTCCACTTCCCTTCCTTCCTGAGATGAAAAGGCCTCTCTCCCAAATCCTTCTATCTACTTGCTCTCCAGAATTTTGCTTCACAGAATTCAGATAGACTTGGGAGTCTGTCAACATCTGTACTGAAGTACCACCATTTTCTGGAGGTACAAGTTGTCTGCATTTTGACTTTAGTTTACCTAGTGTAGAAACCCCATGACATGGTGCTGCCCTAAGGAAAGCCTTTCAGAAAACAAGGATCTCTATAGTATCTAGTGAGGAATAATTCAGACTGATTATGTTTTTATTCATGTTTTCTGTGCATTCTCCTGCTGCAATGAATGTGCTTTTGTTGAGTGGAAGGTTTCCCATCATAATGACAAATACTGTTAGGCATTATAGAGGGCAAGAAAGAAAAAAGATCACTTAAAACATGGTAGATGTAAGAAACAGGACCAGAGTCCTGGAATTAGACATTGCCTAGCCAGTAAACATTAACAATTGCCTGCATATCTAATATTTAACGCGAGGAGAGTTTGCTCTCTGAGGGCCTGTGGTTTGACTTGATTTCATAAAGTATGTCCAGACATCTTGATATAGTTTAGTGTGGTAGTTATACCAATATTTAACTTCCTTTAAAAACTATTCTTTTCCTATCTGAAGATTGCCTATTACTGATAAAAAAAATTTAGTAAATTGGTGTTAAGAGATCTTATGCTAAACAAAGGGTGTAGTCAACATTTTTTGTGTTTACAAAAGAAACAAAACCATATTCTTCAGGTCTGACATTTTTCTCCTTAAGCGCTGAAGATAAATCATGGGCTGCAGTTTCACCGTGCCTTTCTCGTCAAAGCAATGGCACATATTTATAGAGATTAAGCATTTAAGCAGAATGCAAGCTGTTTATTAGCAAACTGATATTAAAGAGATACTTCTATGACTGGATTGATTTTGTTTTAAATATTCTGTTGGGCTTTGAATGTGTGACTACAGAATCCTAGAGGAGAATCCACTTGTTTTAGATAGAGGTGTTCATACTGATAGATGCAGAGTATGTGTGTATTCTATAAAAAAGAGTTATTTTTTAAATTGTGTCCCAAAGGACAATGATTTAGAAGTAGTATAACAGTTTTCTGTGGTTAAAACCTATAGCAAGCTTTTTTTCTTCTTTTACAAAGGCATCTTCTGTGACTGGGACCAGAAGTGTACATCTACATAAAGATTAAAAAAATTGCTTTGGGCTTAAGCAAACATTCCCCATGCTGGTCAGGGTGGTATTGCTGACATCCCTGGCATGTTGTGGTGCATTCTGCCTGTCCCCCAGTTCAGACAGTTAATTCTCAATTTCTCTTTTATTTTCAGGGTTGTTCCGGTTGTGGAAAATGTGACTGCAGTGGAGTAAAAGGGCAAAAGGTGAGTAAGTCAGTTCTCTTAGCTTCATTATCTTGCTTATTTAAACCACATGGTGTATAATCTACTGGCAGGCAGGTGAGCCATTAGTTTCAATGAACAGTTGCACTGCCACAGGGCATTGCCCTTCCCCAGGGTTTCCGAAAAGCAGCCAGCTCAGTGTCTGCAAAAGCATGAGGGCCAGGGGTGGGAAATGGCCAAATTCCCCGACTGCAGGGCAAAGCCCCTGGCCCAGTGCTTGGCCATGCTCCAAGTGGGATCTTTCCCCAGTAAGCGAGATGCTAACCCGGTGCTCTCACCTTTCCTACACCTCACCTCCAGTCTTTTCAGTGGGTGGCAGAGGTCCTGGCTTGACATCCTGACCACCTGTGGAAGCAATGCCAGGAGATCAGTTCAGAAATGCTCCCCTCAGCTTGCTGTGCAGGTTGCTCTCCAGGAAGGCTGTGATGCATTAAAAGCAGCATACCCTGACCAGCGTTAGCCCTGGGAGGCAATGACCTGCAGGAAGGAGGTTAATAATCAACTTAAATACAGCAAAGTATTTCAAGTCACAAAGAAATATTTAAAAATTTTTGACAAAACCTTGCAAATTAAAGTTCTTGTTCAGCTATCCAAACTTCCTGTGTGTGAAACAGAAAAGGCACTCCCAAGGCTTCTTTTAAAGCAGTAACAGTGAAGAAAAAATATAGTGTACTTAAGCATCCCATGAATTCCCCCTGTAAATTGCCTGCTTTTGTAAATATTGTAGACATTCAATCACTCTCCTCTCTCTTCCAATTCTCCTGTAGAGAATTTAATCTACAGTGTGTTCTGTTATACGTGCACATGTACTGTATATCTGCCATTATAAACGAATGTAAACCAAAGGCTTTATCATCCTGTGGTTGCAGTGGGAATATTCTTCAAGGTAAGTTGTTTAGGTCACCCAGAGGCGTGCTTAGAAGAGGTGGGAGTTTCGTTTGGTTTTTGTTTTGGGGGGCTCATTTTTTTAAAAATAAATATACAGCTTATGTTCTAAGTTCTCTCACATGTGATAGCTACATATTATGGATAAGGGTTTTAAGAATGTTTGTCTGTGGCTTTTCGTTGGTGTTTTCCAGAACAAGGAATGTAAATTACTTAATTGGAGACCTAAGCAAAGATCATTTTCTTTGTAACAGAACACAGATTAATTTGTGAGACAGATGAAGAGTATCAAGGTTCAAAACATCTTTTTGATGAAGTTTCCTTTTAAAAATGACCTATTAATATCTGTTTAATAAAAGTCATCTATATTAAAAAGGTTCAGAACATTGAATTTATTCCTTGATATCTTGATATTCCATTATAACTCTCTTGTTGAAAGCCATTAGTTTTCAGTTCATAGAGTGTGTTAGCATCTTGTAACTAGATAATTTTTAAAAATGATCGTTTGGGGAAATAAATTGTATTGGAGCTTACGCTTCATTTATTTCCAGCTGCAACCCTGACTGTCTTTGCTAGAACTCTTGTTGGCATTTTTCATTTGCATAGTCCAGAGTCTCAAAAAGTTGAAAGAAATAGGTGCTTGTCTGATATGCTAGAAGCCAAAACTATCTCAAATTGCTGTAGGTTACTTAAAAATGTAGAAGAGGGAAAAATATCAGTCCATAGCAACAGAAGTCATAGTGAAGTCCAGAACTCATGCAAACTTGTCCAGCAAGTCAGTGTACTCCCCACTCTTCCTAATGGATTCCATCACAAACTGCTCTGACTTTAAACATATGTAGTGAAATGTTTACATACTTTTAGGCTGTGTAAGAAATTTAATTATTGACATTAGAGATATCTAGACAGGTGAATTAATAGTTATACCTAGAAAACAATATTAAAGAGGCATTTGAAGATATTTTGGAATGTATTTAAAAGTAACTTGATTCAGATCAATACATATCAATGCTTGCTCGTTATGTTGACACACTGAGGCTTTCAAATGTGTACTTAGAATTTTGAACAGAAAACTGTTTTATTTAAAAACATCTGCCCCCCACCCTTGTTCTAGCCTAGGACAACTTTTCATCCGAATTCTTTACGTTAATGCCTGTCTAGAATAAGGACAGCCTGCTACCCAGTCCCAGGCCTGAAGACTGGTGAGGGAAAGCAAAGGGAAGTATCCTTCCTGCTTGCCTTTGTAATATTTCTAGAAATGGTCTTTCCAACCAACATGTTTGGATTTGAAACATGTCTCTGTTAGATACTATTCTCATTAATGCACACATCAGTAGCGGAACATGTTACCTCAGAAATCTACGTGAATGTTGCTTAATCAGAGAAGGACTGATTATAAAGACTGTTCCTAGCCAGGATCCAGGCCAGAAGAGGGCCACCATGCCCAGCTCTTGTAATACCCTAGGAGACCACGTTAGAGAAAATCTGCTCTCCACTTCTTACGTAGACACTTGTGTGGGAAGTACATATCCATTCTGCCCTGCACCATCCGCAGCCAACATGTTGCCTACACTGGAAACCCTTTTGATCTGTCTTCCATGTTGTGCAGAAGTGCACAAACGCCAAAGGGCCTTTTCCAATCCACCCACAATCTTCAGCAATGTAACCACACCAGTTTACTGCTGTGGGAGCTTCAGCAGCTGCGGAAGTGGGTGCTGGCTTTACCCTTTAATGCCTTAATTATTAACATCTGGAGTTATATTTCCTACCATAGTGTGGGAAGAAGTTACAGACCCTACGACTTGGGAGTGGGGCTTAATTAAAATACATTTGGCCAAACAATCATATTTGTGATCTCACCAGAAAAAGTGCTGAAAATAGTATTTGACTTAAAAGCTATGAAATGCCCAAGAAATATTACCCAACAGCATTTGAGACATGGAAGAGTAAATTTTATTGCCATATTTTTCTCTCTAATTTGAGAATCTTTTCATCAACATGACCATTTGGATGGCCATAATAAGAATACATTCAATATGTTCTCTCATTAGGGTGTTTCCATGAAAATGCATGTCTATGCCAAACTCCTTTAAGATGACTCATACTTTATCAAGGGCATGTAGTTGACAAAATCGAAGGGTTTTCATCCCTTTCAGAAAATTTCAGAAAGTAAGTCTAATTGCAACAGATGGCTCTTATCCTACAAAGCCTTTATTATTACACTGAACATCAGGATGTTATTTTAAGCTATATAATGTCAAGTATCAAGTATTTGCCAAACAAAACATGCAGAAATTTTAGAAAAACATAATATTGCTGAAATAATACAATAATAAATAATACCTCACTGTTTTCCATTAGATAGGTTAGTCTAAAACATCTTAATTTGTTTCCTCTTACACTCTTTATTTGGTGTTCTGTACAATAACTGATGGTTCTTTGTAACCTTGCTAAAGTGTGAGATCTGTTTAAACTGATTAGAGTTTTGAATGCTTGCCTACATTTTATTGGGTTACTCAGAGGCAGAGAGAAGCTGTGTTTTCTCTTTTATGCCTACCTAGACTTTGAGAACAATTTCAAGCAGCTGTGGAGATAAGAAGGTCTAGCTATTAATGTGTGTAGAAAAAAGCATGTTAAGCATTTAATTACCATTTAGAACAAAGACTGTATAGAGCTGAGTAAAATTCTCCATGCACTGACTTTTTCCAAGAATGTTCATTCTCTCATTCATGACCATTTGCACTCATTTTACTCCATATCAGAAACATGTATAAATGGAGGTAACACTGAAACTTTGCTGTAACTAATACAGAATGATTAATCTTCTAACATTTATCAGTCAGAATGCATTAAAGTATAAATTCTCATTCTTTAGTGTAAATCCCTTATGATGATTGCCCAGTCTCAGCATTACCCATTAAAGTCACAAGAATATCAAGTGTGATTTTGTTATTGCCCAAGAAGTATTGCACTTTTAAAATAAAAGTCTCTGCTAGGAAATTCTGGGGAAAAAAAAAAAAAAAAGAAATAGAATTAACTCTTATGTAACTTATGCTTTTGAGGTGTTTTTTTTTGTTTTGTTTGAGATGTAAGAAAACTTGAGCAAATAATTTTATATTGACAGATTTTTGTTTTCCTAATTCTGAGACTGTATCCGTATTATTATACCTACATAAAAATCACTTCTGCATTTCCCTTGATGGGTGCATCATCCCCATGTGGATTGACCATGCTGCAGAAGTACACAAACTGGCTTTCCTTCAGCCATTTTGAGTCTGGAAGCCAGGTGGCTCTGTTACTGGCTTAGACTGAAAGTCACTGGGACATCTCTGTTGTCCCCTGACAACAGGAGCAGTGATCAGATTCTTGTCTCCTGTGCGCTCATCTAGTCTTTTACAGTCAGACATGATTTTGCTGCCAGCAGGTGATTGTGCTTCTTCATTTTCTCTGGGTAATGAAGAGTTGACTGTTCAGTAGACTCTGTCCCTGTATATTTGTTTTGTTTTAGTTCGGGTTTTTTAAGGTTTACCAGATTGGGAGGGTCTTCAAGGCTTCTCCTGTCATTTTAGGTATCAAAAGATGCACCAAAATTATTTGTGATATCAATGAGTTAAAACAATATAAAGCCCCTTGTTGGAGAGAAGCTCCAGCAGTTGGTGGGAAGATCACTATTAAATACTTCTGAGTTTCCTTTACAATATAGCAGAGGGCGACAAATTGGTTTCTCTAGTGGAACAAATAAATCAGTAATCACTGAATCTGTGCTTTTTCATCTTCAACCTGTATTAGCAACATAAAGACTTTTTTATCAAGAATATTCATTTTCACACTTTGCATTGGCACCATTTCATGTCAGTATTTACTATTTGTTTTTAATGAGTTCTTCCATAGTTCTGCTCAGTGTTTCTGTTAAGTGGCTGCTGTAGATATTTACGTCGCGTACAGCACCTGTTCATACCTGAGTTGGAAAGACTACGAACTGAGGACACCAAGCAAAGCACAGCTAAATTATATATCCCAGAGAGGGACATAAAGCTGACAAGAGGAGTGATGGGCAGTGTGGGAAGAAAGATTGTGTTTGCAGTCTGGAAAGGCCT